TATATATATATAAAAGAGAGGTGGGGAAGGACCCTCCTAGATAGATTAATAAAATTAAGGAAAACATACTTTTCAGCCCTTCAGAGCTTTAAAGTAGAGTGAGAAATTTTTTATTACTTTCAGAAATCACTCGTTAGGGACTCAGAGGACAAAAATTCCAAATACCTGAAGCAAAATTCCGATGGTAGTATTAGTTACTCATCAAATATAAAAGTATTGAGGAAATCTTTAGAAAATGAAGATACTCTAGTGTCAAAATATGAAGGTGTGTTTGATGGTCCTTCTTACTTTATTTATGGAAAGAAATCAATGTTTAACGTGTAAGTAATGTTCCTATAATTTCTAAGCATTAGATATTTTGCAACTCGTTAATGTATTTATTGAACATATTGTAATTTATTGTAATTGCAGTTTATTGTATCGTAAAAATGGTGGCAACTATTTGACATCAAACATAATGTAAAGAGATACAAGAGATAATTCTTAGTCCATTCAAGCATCAAGGACTGTTCCTGGTGGATGTTTCACTACAATCCGTTTGGTTTAAAGTAGTTGCCACCATTTTTGGTGCTCAAAACCACTAACGTTTACGATGACAGAAGACTATAAAGATATATTTACAATACAGTAAGAATAGTTTGTTAAGGGTGCACCTTAATTCTTAAAATAAAATTAGTTCGTAATTCAGACATACACATAACAAAGATAATGTAAAGACAAATCTAACTAGGCTTAATGAATTAGACTTAACAGAGTACAAGTGTTAAAAAATTGAATATTATAAAACTATTTAATACGATTAACATACATTGAAAAATGAAAATGTGTTATCCTTATTACATTCAAATCATTTCTTAGTCGATTGTAAACATTCTAGAGACGATAACGAAACTACGCCAAAATTGGTGTTTTTGTAAGTGAAAATGATTTACGTATGGGATGAAAGAGCGTGAGCTCGATGTAAGCATAATCTCTTATTGTTGTTTAGATTTAGTTGCAGTTTTAAAGTATATCTGAACAGTCACTTTGGTGTTTACCTAAAGTGTTTCTTTACACAATTGTTTTGAGTTGTTCTTCAAATCTGGGGAGATAATACCTCACTGTATACAGTAAAAACTGTAATATAGTATCTCTTCAAATTTGGACTTCATCGACCGAAAGGATTATGTCAAGGAACATTCTATTTTAAGTTAAGACAACATTAAACGTTCATGTACATTTAAAATGTCAAATCGTAACGCAAATAAAGGTGAAATCGCAAACCAAGCTCCATGCATTAAACCCATTTGTAAGCGATTTACAATTCTGAAATAAAATTTGGCATACCTTGTATAGCGCCCGTAGATCGTTTATTATTAACTTTCCAACTCAAACCGATCAAGAAGACCAACACAGATAAAATTTAATGTATTGGGGTTAAAGGTGTGGTACCACTCTCTAATATAGCTTAATGTTGCAGAGTTAAATTTCTATTTATTTCTAGTTATTTCGATTAATACAACACATTCGATGTGGTAAAAAATTAAAAACTTGATTCAAGCCTGATCATCATCTCCATGCATTTGTCTAGAATATAAATTGCTTTTTTTATCGATTCGTCATTGAAAACTTGTTAAACTAGTTGACAAAAAGGTTTTTGATCACGAGAGTTATTACATCATTTATTAGACATAAAAACTTGATTGGAACTTATTAGCTTGAATTCAATGTTAAAAAAATCAACATTACTTTCCGACCTATCACTAATAAATTTATTAAAATCCTGACGTGTAACGGTGTCACATGGTACATAGTCATAAAAAAAGGAAAATAAAATGAATAGAAGTAACAGGAATCAGTAAAATAATCCAAATTGATATGTTACACTGATGAAGTGAGAATAACATACATTAACAGGAGTAAAAACAAAAACGCAAGTAAAAACTGACAGCTAAAATCTTATAAAACAAAAAGTGACTTCTAACTATCTAATAAATTGGGAGCAGCAGAGTGAGATCCTTTTTTATTGATTTTTGTTTTTAATGGTATGAAACGACTTCCAGAAGTCTAAGTCAGTATTTGACAGAAATTTATGAATAATATTTGGTGAAAAAAATTTAACACCTTATCATTTGTCCAACAGAGTTTTATTATAAATAAGTATTGGAGTTTTTGATTCCTGACATACTGCAGCAAACGTTCATTTAAACGGAATTTAAGTACGCACACGTTTTGTTTTCCTTGTGTACAAAGGTCCGCCCAAATAAAGATAAAATTATATATATATATTTCCAAATTACTTACGCAATTAGTGGGTTCTCCTATCAACAAAATGGCAAATTTGTTGACAGAAGTAAATACTAAAAAGATTTCATGTTTTTTGAGACTTTTGAAAGAAATAGCTAATTATTAGAAAGAACGGAACTAAACCACAATTCCACTTTTCTTTCAAAAAATTGGTTACCAAATTCTAAAAATTTAAATAAAACGCCTAGTCCGAATAATTTTTATTATATAGAACTATCTATATTGTATTCCCAAATCTAAAACAACCCATTATTTATTTTCGTTGTTCATTAATGAGTTGTTTTAAGTTCGAAAATGCAATGTCATTAAATGGAGTATATAATACTAGCATTTGAAATTTTATTAGAATTTTTGATATTGATAACTAATTTTCAGAGAGAAAAGAAGTATACCACAATCGCTTCCATTTTTTTTTTCAAAAATTAGTTGCCAAGTATCAAACATTTTATTTAAACAAAGTTCAAGTAATCTTTATTTCTACTTACAATATTGTATTACCGAGCCAAGGGCAACCCATAGTTTGTTCAAGATTCCGTTAGTGTTGCCATTCTGTCTATGCTTATCTTTCACAAAAACCTGTCAACTGAAAATCACAGGTTCAATTTAAAATATCACAGACAAGTGCTATTATAGTTTGCCTACGGCAAGAACTCCCCCCACCACGAAGTCTGAGATCGTCTTCTGCTATGGAAATAAAAGTAGGGAGGGTAGCTTCTCTTCATTTTAAGGCAAATACAATAGACCGAAGAAAAAAATTTCCTTTTTCTCGCCGACCTGATCCATAACCTTTCCTAAGGAATGACCCCATACCCCTACTTGAAATGGTTATACCCCTTCACCGTAGTTACCTCCACGTGATCAGACGGATGGCAAGGGGATTTTATACTTACTTATTTTTCGCTGTTCTTTTTTCTAGGAATGAAGAAGCAGAAATTATTAAGAAACATTTTCCGGAAGCCCAGTTTGTTGGTATTGAAGGTGCTACTCACAATGTTCATTCGGATGCTCCACATCCCTTCTTTGAAGCTTTGTTGAAATTCTTAAATGAATAATTATACATATTGTATATGTTACCGGAAAATTTAAAAATCTGGTATTGTATACAATGCCGAAAAAAAGCTGGCTATGTATTAAACTATGAAACGTTTCTCACAATGGTTAGGTATTGTATGCAATACCAAATGATAAAATGCCAAAATATGATGTATAATTATTTCGCTTTTTTACTTAATACGTTTGTGCAATATTGATATTAGTTAAAATTAATTTCTTCATGCAATAATTTGGTTTATATTTTATATTGTTTGTTTTAACTTCTTAATAGTTAATAATAAACAGGTATAATAATCTGGCATAACTGAAAATTTTCTTTAGCTCTGAAATCAGTTACGTTACTTAAGAAAAGCAAATAAATACATAATGTACTTTTTGTTGAAATTCGCATTTCTCGTGTTTCTTTTTTAAATAATCGTCATTGAACACAATGCTTACGCAAAATATGCAATCCTGTAGTTTAAATATATAACATACCTTAAATTTTATGATTTTACTGAAAACGCCAGTCGTTATGCACATACAGGTATTTCCTATATTGTCTGTAAAATATGCTTACTCTAATAAAGAAATGTTTTTACGGAATGCAGAAGATTGTTTCTCTTAGTTCCCCACATTCTTAATCTAATTCCTAATCATGTCATATAAATATCATGTCATGTCAAAGCACCATTTATCGTTATTACTATTATAATTTATTTTAAAAAAAATTGAGTTTGTCCTTGTATTTTGTTAAAACTACAACAGATAGGATAGTTGAGCAGTGATAGTTGATTAAAACAATTTTTCTTGTGATATCGTTGTCATTTTGTAGATAAAATTAATTGCTGACACATTAAAGTAATTCTTATTCAGAGGAAATGCACAGAAAATAGTGTAGATTTGCCAAATAAAATGGTTTATAAATATTAGGGGGACCAGAAAGTAATGTCGTTTCGGCGCATTAAATATTTTATAGTCTTAAAAACCAATTAATTTTTTACGATTCATTTTCGATACGGCAATGAAAGGTTGTAGCTAATGAGGCTGAATATATTATTGATAAAAAAACAAAATCTTGATAACTAATATCCAATGCCCCAAAACGACATAACTCTACTAACATAAATGAATTGAAACGCGGTTAGTTCATGACTTGTTCAAGACAAGAGACTTGAAATGTAAAACATCTTTAAGATTTTCTCTGAAAAGTTCCACAGATAAAGATTTGATAGAGAAAATCATTATTCTATATATATATTTCTCTTACACCGCAACAAAAAAAAAAGTCTCATTACAACTCCCCGAATGGCAATGCTAGAAAATCGACTAATGATTGCCGCTAAAAATGTCAGATGCCAAATCTAGCTGAGAGAGCGCAACATATAGTGCTTTTAAAAATGGAAACTGAAATAACCAGAGAGAGCATAAGCTAGGCAGAAGTGAGTAGTCTTTGTCGATAGATCTCTATTTTAGTATTTTGTTGAAAGCGCTTTTTTTCACGAGTTTATTTGACGATTTTTGATTTATATCACGAATTTATTTGCTTTACTAGAATTTATTTGCTTATGCAGGTTTTTCCATTGCAATTCACTTATTTCAATTTTTAATAGACTTAATTATAGCCAAAATTTTAACCTTTTTAAAGAGATATCAGTTTTAGAAATTTTATCTTAAGATTTTATACTATAGCACATTTCTAATAGGTTTAACGAATTACATGTCATTTATTTCCAATTTATTTTAATGACTTAGTATTTACTAAAAAGATGTAATTTTTTGTTAAAAAAAAGTTGTTATATGGATTTGAATGATTGTTTTGAATTCTTAGAATTTTTTGCATTTGCAATGTACATAAGTTAGAAGCGAGCGAAGCGAGCTTGGTTTGCGAAGCAAACCATATAAGATTGCGTAGCAATTTTTGGGGGTTGGCGAGCGTTAGCGTGCAAGGGGCACAGCCTACTAGTATTAAATATTTCATGCAATTCTTCATAACTTCAATTCAATGGGGGATGTTTTTGTTTTGTTTTCCTTTTGAAAAATCCAGACTAATTTCAACGATATTCCTGAATATACTATTTGCATGTGTACGGATAAGTAATTATTCCAAGAAAACTCGTTCTCGGTAGATATTGAGAGCATCATTAAATCTATATTATTTTTACTCCATTCTAAAGAAGAAAACGAATGAGTAAATTATTTTTTGCAAATGCAGTTTTAAAAAAAATTAAAAAAACAAGAAATTACGTTTTAAAAGATTGAATATAATGTAATAACATATAATACAAAACATATAATGATAATGCAGCTTAAGTGTGAAGTTGGGTTCGAAAAAATACAATTAAATCCTCTGTCGGAAGAACAAAATTACTTTCCGAACAACCAGATGGCTTAGACTTTCCAAAATCACGGCCGTGAGCTCCCATAATTTGTAGTAATTTGTGATGCAAAAGGAGAAAAAGGACCATAATTAACTTGACAATTAACAAATTTAAGAAAAAAAGTATAACAGTGACATCTTTAGCTCGAAGCTGTCTACACGCAGCATTTCAGGCCAAAGAATGTATGTATAGTTAAGTAAGTTAATGAGTAAACTTCACGATTCTCAGGTACTCTCTTTAAATATTAATGTAATTTTTTTAAAAACAAGTTTGTCTTACTATGTGTAAAAAAGCCAAAAAAAATGCATTATTATAAATTTTATGATAAAGGGCCATTTTTAGGTGAAAAATAAGCCATTTTTTGCATATACGGTAAACACTGTAAAAATATTTCTACACCCTAAAACAAAAAATCCTTCGAGGATTTTATTTAAAATTTATGCTTTGAACTATTATCTTAAAAGCTGGTACGTGTACTACTTAGTTAGAGATCAATATAGTTAAGCAAAGTTTAAGAAATTTCAGCACTAATCTTTGCGAAAAAGCTTGCATAAAAAATGAAATTCTGCATTTTTCTCTTAGTAGTTCAAAACATGCGTGCAAAAATCATAAGCACTCATGAAGAAATGTAGACAATTATTTCGAAAGCAATATGAGATATCGTGCTTAAGGTGATGAAAAATGTGGTACAAATCTGATTTTGAGATAAATGCATCCAAGGACTTTAAATTATTACCCTCATCCACTGTTATTACCTTACACAAAAATTGCTATAACTTCGTAATTAATTGGAGTACAAACAAAAGTAAATTATTTTTCAAAAGCTATGATTACGGGTATTCTAAATTTATAATAAACTAATTTCAAAAATTTAAACATGTTTTTGCACTTGCCTTAAAAAATTTCATAGAATTGGAAAGTTTTTCTTTTTAAATCTAATATCATCGTAGATGTTTGTAAGAATTTCAGAGAATGTTTTAAAAGAATAATCACGAAATTTCTTTAGTAAATGTAAACAATTCAAAAATTTTGCCTTTTGAGACTATTTTAGATTTGTCACATCGATTGAAAAATTTAGCTCAGAAAGCTTGCCCTAATATTGTTGATGACAATGCTTTAATGATACAAAATTAAAAAACTTTTTAAATATTCTACCGGTATCGTTTAAAAGTAAATTACTTGAATCTCAAATTAATAATTATAATGAAGATGTACGAAAAGCCCATCTTTTTCAAGAAGTTGAAATTTTAACTAGCATCTTGAATTCCAGTAAACAATCAACAGGCAGGTCCGAACTTGCCCTGAGATAGTTGCGTTGAAAGAAGAATTGTTAAACTCAGTGGTTCCCAATTTTTTCCGCTGCGGAACCCTAAATAATTTACATTCTTTTGGCGGAATAACGACTCTATAAATAAAGTTTATTACGATAATTGTGAAGGTTATATAACCTGTAAAAGACTGTTTTGAAAATATCTAATTAGAAGAATGAAGATTTGTCTTCTCATTATCATTAATCATCTCAAATTAGGATAATTTGCTGTCCTTGTGCTATATTTAATCTAGTTATGAAATTGTTTTTGGTGTACACACATAAGCTAAAAATGAATAAAATATGCCGGATTATGGTTTACTTTGAAATGAAAACTTGAAAAAGTTGTTATAAACGTTGAAAATGGTTATTAGGCAAGCATATTTCTTTATTAAAGAATTTAGTTATTTTATTTTGATTTGAATACCAATGCAATGTTTTATAAATGTTTCTTTTCCTAATTTGTTAAATATATTAGAAATATATTTTCTTTTACGAAATGTTATTTCTATTTCATTGTCATTTTACTTGAAATAATTTCATAGATCAACCGAAACATTAAACAGATTATGAATTCTAGCTAAATATAACAGTTACAAAATGCTGATACCAATATATCTGCCAATGTACATGCAAAAGTGTTAGCTAAAACATGTAATAGTAAGCTTACTCTACGAAATGTCTCTCTCTATATAAAACGTTACAAGCAAATGCTTTTGCTTAAAGTGACAAACTGATTAAAAAAAATTACTGTATTACATACTTTGATATAGTGAAGTGTTATAAACTTATGAAGTGCTTTATTAAACTTTTGATACCATTTTGGACTATGACCGAATATGCTTTTGTTAAAGACGAGAAATTCAATATTTTGTAAAAAATGAACTTAACAATTTTTAAAAATAACCTTTTTTTTTCGGATTTTAACATTTTTCGCTATGATTTTTTTCTGCGATTTGCTATGATTTTTTTGCTTTCTTACTGCATATAACTGCAGAAATATTCAATAAAATTAAACAAAATTTTAGATTATTTTTTAAATTTTAATAAAAATATCGCTTTAAAAATTAGTTGAGCAAGATATGAGTAGTAAAAGTAGTATTTTCATACTGCGCATGCGTAGAAAATTTTGTTTTGAATCGTTATATGATAACTTATGAAAAAAGTCTGATTTGAATATCTAGAAAATTTGAAAAGTTTCTAACAATTTTCAAGTAGGTTTTGTTAATTTAAGAAGAAAGCTTTGAATGGTATGGGTTTTCCACAAATTTATTTCGTGCTATTAAACAAGCCTTATTAAAAGTGACATCGCATTATGTAGAGTCGCACTCTTTTAAATTATATTTTATTTCACATATTTTGTTTCCTTTTACCATCACATTTTGTTGTCTGCACCATTTTAGGGTATTATCATTTGATATGAAGTTTTGTTTCAGGATACAAAATGAAATTTGTGGGAAACCCCTAATCATTTAGATCTTCCAATAAAAAAGTACAAAAGTTGCTTAAAAATTGCTAGAAACATTTTACATTTTCAAGAAATTCAAATCGAACTTCTTTCATAAGTTACCAAATACAATTCTAAACAAAATTATGAAAAAAATTTTACTTCACCTTAAATTCTACTTTAAATACTATCTTGAGCAATTTTTGACAAATTTTTTTCAAATATTAAAATTATATTTTATTATTAAGTAAAATTAATTAAAATTTTGTTTAGTTTCATTGAATATCCCAAAACTCAGTCCAAAAAATGAGAGTTTTTCTTATAAAAATGTCTATATCTCTATGAATATTTTAGCTAGGTTCACGAAATTTTGTGCAGTTACTTCATATGATAATCAACTTTTTTAATATGAGTTACAATTTTGCATTTTTTGGCATAAGGTGTTCAAAAAATTTTTTTTTTCGTTTGTAATTCATTGTCGATCCCTCAAACCTCTAAAATTTTATTGATATATATGAGAAATTGCATGACTTAAACACTTCTAAAGTTTTTAAAAAAAATTTGGAAAAATTTGCAAGAATTCCATCATTTTGTCCACTCAATGTATGTATACTTTTTACTGCTTTTGCCTTCGCACTGTGGGCCAGAAGACCATGATCTTTGACCAAAAGTCAAAAATTAAATTTTCAACTAAACTATGATGTGTAGACAGTTTTAATATAGCCCAAATTAAGTATTCATAATCATTCCAAACATTATAATTTACTTTTTGAACCGACAATGAAGAGACAATAAAAGAGTACAATGTAATGAAAAATGTGTTAAAATTTATTTTCAAGCGTAACTTTTAAATTTTTATTTCAGAAATATATATATGAATTTCACCTTACTGTTACATTTTTAACAGAGTAATTAGTCTGAAATTATAGTACAATTTTTCAGTTTGTTGGATTGGTTAATACACTTGACAAACTTATAGTTTATATCTTATCATTTGATATTTTACTATGTTTGAATGACTTTCGAAACTTAGTTCCAAAAAGTTTCACGAGGTAAGTAGCTAAATTTTTTTTTGTTATCTTCTTTGATGTTTCTTCTTTCGAAAAAACTTGCCCCACTTTGCCCGTATTTTAAAGGTGAACTAAATATACCGAAAAACAAAAATTATGTTTTTTTTTCCATGTTTTCGCGTTATTTTGTAATTAATTCTTGTTATCTTGTAATATTACTTCGGAAATATAATTTGCTTTTCATTTTAAATATAGAATTACGAAAATTATTATATTTTCATTGCTATGTTTAATTATTTAAACGTATTATATTATTTTTTTATTTTTGCTCGCCATATTTCAACCGCCATTTTGTTTTCCAGGTATTTTTAGTGTATTTCAAAATTTCAACTATGAATTCAATTTACCAGCGCATAGAACCCCTAAATAAAAGCCCCCAAACTTTGAAACAAATTTTATTGAAATACTAATTTTGTCCACGAAACCTTGGATGCTAGCCCACTGTGCTTCGTTCAAAAAATGAAGCAGTAGGAAAATTTGTTTTTATTACTAAAATAAAATGAGATATTAATTTTCAATTATGCTGAGATTTATGCACAATCAAGGCTTCTTCATCACATTAAGAACTTAATACGTAAATAATGAATAGAGCATTGGGTAGATGTAACTATTAAATGACTTTCCGACTTTAGTTTCCCCAGTAGTTGTAAACAAAGGGGTAGTTAAAGAAACGATATTTGTTTAACTAAAAATTACAAGAAATATCAACAGAAATTGTGCTTCTAAGTTGCTTTACACTATGGCAAGGTAAAATCATCGCTTTCTTTCTCAGTAATAGTTTCAAATGCATATAGCATTAGTTATTTTTAAAGGAAATTCCAGTTTTTAATAACTTCGTATTTTTTATTATTTTCTTATTTATTTTCTTCCTCTTCTTCTTATTCTTATTTTTAAGAACATTATTTTTTAAAAGAAATGCATTTAAAAAAAATTTATTTCTTTTTGAAAACATTATTTAATTCTAAGAAAAATTTTCTTTTAAAAAAGAAATTCTTATTTATAATAATATTTTCTTTACAGAAATTCGTATCTTTAAAAATATTATTCATTTTAAAAACATTATTTGTTTTTTAAAACCTTATTTATTTTTTTAAAAACATTATTTGTTTTTTGAAACAATGTATATGTTTTAAAAACATTATTTACAATTTAAAAAAAATTTTTTTTTGCTTTTTAAAAGAAGTTCTTATCTTTAAAAATAGTATTCATTTTTTAAGGAAATTCTTCATTTTCAAAGGAAATCTTTATTGTTACAAAAAATATTATTGGTTTTCCCCCAATTGTTTTTAGATTAAATTCTTTAATATATATATATATATATAAATATATATATATTCTCAAAAGTAAACCCACATTTCTAAGTTCTTGATATATTCATATGGTAGACATGACATTGTTATATTATTATATAGTAGACATTTTTATTTCACATTTTGCCTTATTTCACATTTCTTACCAGTGATTTTTCTAGTTAATTTTATTCAAGCACCTAGTAAAGAGGATTACATCTTATAATATTATTATTTCCAAAGTATCTCTAATTATATCAAAAACGAAGCTATAAACTAAAGTAACACGTTTTATAAAATGAGGTTAAGTACCTAAATTTTATATAATAATTAAACTTAAAATCATGTTTTTTTATAAAATTTTAGAAAATTAAGCGGTTTTCAAGTTAGTTTTTTAATTTGAACAATTCAAATATTGGACAACGAAAAAATTTACTGTGATAATTTTTTATTTTTATTTAAACCACATTCAGTGATGTACTATGTAGTAATCGGCTCATGTCTGTACCAAACCGTAAGCGCTTATTCAGTGACGCCCTCATGTGGCGAGTATTGTAAGTGTTAAGTGCACATTGAGAAAATGTGACGACGGCGACAGATATTCAGGTAGGTACGTAAGTACTTTATTTACATCGCAGTAGTGATGCGCAATGGGCTATTGGCGACGGTTTGGGAAACATCCCTGAGGATGATCCAAAGACATGCCATCGTAATTTCGATCATCTGCTTTGGTAACCCGACGACCTGCACTCGAAGTCGAGCACTTTACGGTAGAACCATTTAACGAGTACTGATACCGCGCACCCTCAGTCCCTACGCCGGCTGATCAAAGTGGTCTCCCACCAGCTCACTGACCGCAACCATGATGCTTGACTTTGGTGTTCTACAGAGAGATATTCAGAGACGTGGATTCAATCATATGCGTGTGTCATCTAAAAGCAAAAAGGAATTCAGTAACCACTTGTGAAGAAGGAATTTTTTTTTTGTCATTTACTCCCATTAAATAACCTGAGTTATTAGTTTTCATTATGAAATAAGAGTTATTTGTAACATCTTTCATGAATTAAGGAGTTATTTGTAATAAGAGTTGTGTAATTGTGCTTTGTTTTCAAAATGCTTAAAAACGCAAGAAAAGCTGATTTGTAGCTTGCTGCTACAGAGTTTGAGGATGTAATAACTGATAAAATGCCAATTACAAAACTAGAAAGTATCATAAAATACTGTGAAATTCAAAAAAGGACCAAAGTTTGTATCTAATTTTATAGAGAGGATAATTGAGAACCGAAAAATAGAATTAGAGACAATCGAGAAAAATCAGCAAATAGAGAAACAATGCGAACAAATTAAATGAGAGAGAGTGAAAGCAGAGCAAGAATTATGTCCCGCATGAAAGTGCGATGACAATTCTGAAAATAAAATTGAGAAATATGATTCCGTGAATTCGCTTGTAAAAAGTATAAAGATATTGAGGATAGTAAAAAGTATAAAGATATTCGAGTTCCTTNTTGGGGGGGGGGAAAGTTTTTTTTTTTTTTTTTGCCTCTTTAGAATGATCTTTCTTGAAAGAAAAAAATTTTCCTGATAAATTTAAAGCTGAAATTCTTTTAAATTTACTAGGTTGGGGAGCATCAAATGTAATTTCTTATATAGGGGATAATGAGCCGAATGCTAATGATAGAGTGAAGAAAATAGCATATGACAACTAGCTTTGATTATTATTTAAAATTAAGAGAAGTGTCTGATTTTGAGGAAAGCAATTAATGGAATCTTCGAACATTAAGCAAAGAAACCGCGTCTCCTTAAAGTGTTAGACAATCAGGAAGTTGGTTTGATCTTGATCCCGTAACCTTGGGTAAAGAAACAGATTAATTTTTATTGTCACGGGGTAAGTCATTAACGGATAATGATAGTCAAATATTATCTAATTCTAGAAATGTGTCTAAGATATTATTAGCTGTAAATAAGAGTTCGAATTGTATTTTGTGTTTTGATAATTATCCCTTACACTGTTCAAAATTACTTGAAAAAATGGTTAAATAACAATTTATTTACTCGCTTTTTTTTACCATATTATAGAAAAACAGTCAAATAACCATAAATTAGATTATATTCAAACTGTTAATTGCAAGAAAAACCGTTTCTTAACTCCTTTCACCTAATACTGTTAAACAACCAGAATTTTATCGCACCAACTAGACCCACATAATGAAGGCACTTATTTCCAAGCAAATAAATACATATTATAGCCGAGAGAGCTAATTTTTAAATCTCATAGCCGACAGAACGGGGGTTCGAATCCTAGCCTTGACACAGCAATATTTCTTCCATTCTTTTCCCCATGAAGAGTGTCAAGCAGTTTTCTGATCCTTGGCTTTTAGTATACTATACTCTCATTCACACATAGATTGCAGCACCATAAGGATGCTAAACTATCTCCAATGTCCGATGAAATTTGTCCGAAGTCAAGCATCACTGGCTACGGTCAGTGTGCGGGTGGGTGACCACTTGGATCAGTCTGCGTAGGGACCGAGGGTGTGCGGTATTGGTCCTCGTTAAACTGCGCTACCGAAAAGTGCTCGACTTTGCGCGCAGGTCGACGGGCTACCGAACGGAGGGTGCCATCCCCTCCGCAGAGGATCAAAATTGTGATGGCATGTCTTCGGATCGTCGCCAATAGCCCATTGTGCAGCTCAAGTGCGACGTAAATTAACAACAACAACCGATGAAATTGGTTTTTTACGGTTTTGAAACCATGCTAGTTGTAAATGGTTAAGCAACCTCATAATTTTTTATTCATGGATTCTTAAGCATACTAGTTGTAAACGGTTTCAAAACCGTAGAGGTAAAAAATCTCCTGTAGGTTATTTTGCCATATTTTTTCAATAAAATTCTAATAGTGTGCATAAATGTAAAAACTTTTTAGCATTGCCGGTTTCTGAAAGAGTCGAAATAATAATGAAATATAATTATTATTTCTTTATTATCCATTTAAACGAAAATTATCCATTAAAACGTATGAGCTCAAAACAGTAACTTACGAAACAGACAAACGCTTTATCCCCTGAACCACCGCAGCTCTCGCTGTGTCTCTTAGCAAAATTAGATATATAAGAAATATTAGTTTAATTATTTAATAATAAATCTTATTGTGAGCCATTGGTGCTCGATGAGAATTAGCATCCAACCTAGTAGTAAGTTAGGAGTGGTAATTAGCATCCAATAGTAATTAGTAGTATTAAGTTAGTAGTAGTAATTAGCTGTTGTAGTTCATTTACGTCGCACTAGAGCTGCACAATGGGCTATTGGAGACGGCCTGGAAAGCATCAATGAGGATAATTCGAAGACATACTATCACAATTTTGATCCTCCGCTCCTGTAGTCAGACGACCTGTACGTGAAGTCGGGAACTTTACGATAGTTTAACGATGACCAATACCACACACCCTCGGTACCTGCACAGACTGATCCTATTGGTCACCCACCCGCACACTGACCACAGCCAGGGATGCTTGACTTCGGTGATCTGCCGATGGAAACCACGTCTTATCGATCAGTTCATTGCGGGAAAGTAGTAATTAGCATCCAAACTAACATCTAATTTCAGTAGTAAGTTAATGGTTTGAAGTGAGAGGTCATTTATGTTATTTTTTGAAACTATAATAAATGTGTTGAAAAATATAAATAATTTCTTTTAATCTTCTAAAAATATTCTTATTCTCTTTTGTTAATAGATACGTTCAAATACAAAGAACATAAATTCACAAGACATTATTTAAAAAAAAAGAAAAACAATATTTTATAGAAATTAGTTAAAAGGAAATTCCTGATACAGCTGTTCAAAAAACATACCATCTAACCAAGGGATGAGCAAACTACAGCCCACGGGCTAACTACGGTCCGCCAGAAGGTTTTATCCGGCCTGGGGATAGAATTTTAACTTGCCAATTCGTGGCGAATATAAACAATATACATCCATTTTCCTGTCTACTTTGTTTAAAGCTACTTTTGTTATTTCCTTTTTAGCTAAGTACTGATGACCTTTAATATTCTCTATTTTTGTTCTACAAAACATAAATTGATGAAAATAGTTAACTCAGGCAGCTTCTATTGGTAAAATATTGAAAGCAGAAGCTCTTTAAGGAGTAGCCGTAGATTGGCGCCATCTGAAGCAGTTGCTTCAAACATGCCAAAGTATGAGTTTTACAAATCATTACCAAAAGCTAGCTTCCCAAATTTAATATTTCATGCCCAGAAAGTCAGTGCTATGTTTGCTTCATCTTATGTATGTGAACAAGTTTTTACAACTATGAACCTCATGAATATCATTTCAGAAGTAGACTAACAGACAAACATTTGGCCTCGTACCTTAAAATAAATACATCTCACTTGGAACCTCAAAGTAAGGAACTTTGAAAAATGAAATCGTAATTTCATTAATCTCATTAAATATTTAAATTAAAACTTGTGTATCGTTTTTTTTTACTTGGTCCACCAAACTTTTTTTTCTCGATTTTTGCCCTTCGACCAAAAAAGTTTGACCACCCCTGATCTAATCAATGATTTCTTAGAAACTAAAAATTCCTCTTCGTCCATATTTTATAAATATAAATTACTCAAAATACGATGTAGCAAGGATACAACACTAAATAAAAATATAACTTTTTACATAATTAAATACTGCTTCAAGTAAATATCTATTTTTACACTATTATTTATATTTTTCAAACTGTATTGTTGAATTTTATGGGTGTATGGATTTACCAGTAAAGACTTAGAAAAGAAGTGTAAATAATCATTTATAATGCCATATGTTTTTTGATGAAGTAAAATATTTTTACAGGCCAAGCAAAGTTGCTTTGTATTTTTATCTTTCGTACATTTTTGAGAAAATATAATTCATATATCATACTCTTTTGTCATAAAATCATTTTCGTTGATTTTTGTTAAGCAACAATAAAAATATTTAAAAATGAGATGCTTATTTAAAATTAGATACTATTTAAAATCAAGCAACATTTTGTATGATTTTCCTAGTTGAATAAGTACCTTTCCTCCATAAATTTATCTTTTTAGTATGAAAGTTATTTTCTCTTTTAATTTTGATCTACTGCTAAAATTAATTAAACATCATTAGCGTCGATAACAATATGGCCACTTTTTATGGTTTATAAGCACGAATAAGTTTATTTTCTCCATTTTTTGGATTTTAATACAAAACTCTTTTTTGTCATTTCAATTAGTAACTATTATCCAAATTAATTAATTATAATTCTCGAAAATGTTTAGTAAAGACACTATTATTTTTATAATTATTTTTGGCTAACGGCCAGAGGAATTTTGGATCAAGTATTGAAAGAAATTTGCCTTCTAGGATGACTTTTTGATGAAACTAGCCCGAATTCACTTTACATCGAGAAAAAAAACACAAAAACTCCCACTGTTAGTCCAATAACATGGGGATTCTAATCCATGATCTATTTACTACTGAGGATCTTTTACATCAGCACTGTCGTCGGTGCAAGAAGGGAGCGGAATTCGTTTCAACCAGAAATCGCTTGGATTCGAACCCGGTTCACATCACGGGTAGGCGAGTGTTCTATCCTTGGTTCAGAATTGCTGGTTTTGTATACAGTGCACACATATATATTAACACTCTGTTTTATTAATATAACTTGAAGGAAAATAAGTATCAAAATTAACATCGTACTTTTTCTAGCTGCAAGCCAGTTACATTAGCTTTCAAAGTCTTTGAAGCTAGCCAGGATGTCGAAAGGAAAAATCCCATAATATTATTGCATGGTTTAGGAGGCTGTAAAGAACACTGGGATGATATTCCACAAAAAGTAGCTGAAGCCACTCATAGAAGGGTATGTTTAATTTTAAATGTTAACAAAATTTAGAGCTCATAATGTCTTCTGCTGAAAATCTTCAAGTTTATAAAAAGTGCTCAATATGATGTCCACCACTGTTTGCTATAATTTTGAAATCTGAAATCGTATATTCAGTCATTGAAATTAATATATGAAGGATTTAACTCGACCTGCTCTAATTAAGGGCATACGGGATTTGGAATTAATGTATGTTGGCAAGTAAGACTACAAAGCAACAAGCATGAAGCCCTAGTCCTTTAATTCTAAATTGCCTCCGTATGTTGTTGGAGGGTCCCGTAAAGGAGGAAAAGGTATGCATATCGGCGTTGTTCCTGAAACAGGAGCAGCAAACATAATTTATTTTCGATTTCAGGATAAAGAAATAAAAATAAAATACTACCTTTTTAATAATAGAAGACTTTTTAAAAACATGTTGAGGTAGCCGCACACTTTTGAATAATTATTTTTTTATAGGTCATTGCAATTTTTTTTTATCATTCTGTAGAAGTCCGGATGATTTCTTTTGTATACCTAGAAGGCCATGAACTTCCCACTGCTTAGAAGTGAAAATATATTTGTGTAAGATATAAATTGCAATTACTTTCACAATTTAAACATCATCAACGCAAGAAGTGTCGAGTGGAGGAATTTTACTTTTAGAAGACATCAATGTTTAGAATACACTTGAGAAAAAAACTGCAATATACTACCAACATTATTGCATCACACATTTCCACTTTTCTAAACCTTTAAAAAAACGGCGACAATTCAAATTTCAATGGTAGAAAAACTGAAATAGACGGACTATCACTTTTGTTTAGTAATCTTGCATTGTCACAACCAAATACCAGAAAGCCGCAGCGGTCGCCTCCCAATGAGGTAAAGCAGGTTCACATCCTAATAGTTTGTGGTGAATACGAATTCGAATATCCGGCTCACACAAACCACAGTGCCGATGCAAAATATCCTTAGAGATAGAAGGACTAAGGGTTAGAAACCTCTTGCCATTAGGTCAACCATGGAAGGTTTTCGTGGTTCAAAAATTTTAACCATAGCGGTTCAAAAGAATTTCGTGATTAGTACCATTGAAAAGTTCTTCGTGAAGGCTAGTTTGTCTCTTTGCTCGATCCAGGAATTACATTGTCTCCTTGGTTGGGTCCAAAATTGTATCATAATTTAATAAAATTGAGTTGAACGTTGATAGCTGTAAACTCAGAATTGGGTCTGCTGTTCACAACGCAGGTTTCATAATAAAAAATACCACAATTATTTGGGGATCTGGTTAGCTGTAGGGATTGTTTACCACGATACGACTGTTCACCATCTGGTGGCAATTTCTTAAACTATTTACTTGATAAATTAAATTTCCATCAATTTGTCAGCATAATTAAGAAAATTTGCTACATAAGATGCTCTCATCCTTATTAATGAACACCCTGTATTTATGAATTTTTCATAGTTGACTTTATGCATCAATAATAAATCAATAATAATCAATGAAATAAATTCTCATTTAATTTTCATTGCTCTTCTTCTAACATCATTTGCAACACTGAACATACTTGACGTAGTAAAATATCCATAAAATAAAGTGGAAGTTTTTAAAGTGTAATGATACGTATACCGCTTTAAACATTTACGGTATTTAAAAATCGTGAAAAGTTAACTAAGCTGTAACGCAAATCAAGTCTATCTTAAAAAAGGCTGGTCTACTTGGGTACCATGTTTATCGTTCGAAAGAAACAACTACTACAGGGTAAATACTATTTTATAGTAGAAAGTTTAACCCTTGCATGTTATTCATTAATTACTTATATCTAGGAAGAAGTTATATTTAAATGTATGCATATTTTACATTATATATCAAGGAAAAAAAGATTGACCTCTTAAACATTGGATGGCTTCGGAAGAAAATACGAATATTTAAAAAATGAAATAAGCAAATATAAATTGATTACCAGAGATAAATTTAAGGGAATTTTTTAAATCCATAATAATTAACATAATCCAATATATCGAATTTTTTAAATCCATATGCGTTATTTTATTTTTGAGAAAGCCTTGCTATTTTCATTTGTATTGTACCATTCTGAATAAATTTTGATCGAATGATCTGATCTTCACGTTTTAGGACTCAATTTCATTTTTCGAGGGGCCGACCTCAAATATGCAATTTTATTAGCGCAGACGATATTTTAAGTTATGAAATCACACACAAAAATGTTTTTGTCTGAATAACCTTTTTTTCCTCCAACAAATTCGGATTTCAGACCTACAAAATATAGAGGTTTCCCGCAATCTAAAAAATATGGCCCCCTTAGCTTGGCGACGATATTTTTTTCTTATCTTATCTTAGGGCGATCTTATGTTAGGGAAATTTATTGTTAATTTTTCTTCTGGTTGCATTGCTATATATCGAGAATTTAAAGCGAATTAAGAGATTTTTGCACACACTTATAAAATAAATTTGTCCAAACATAATTCCATTCAAAAAATTTATTTTAGTAAATATTTATTATTTTTGATTGTTTTATTTAATAGTAGTTAAAAAAAATTTAATTGTAAGGTGTACAATTGTAAGGTATACATCATTTTGAAGTACGTAATTTCACATGGCAAAATGCTAAATTTGAGCGAAATCAGCGAATAGTTTTTGAGAAATCAAATTTTAATTATACGACTTTCTTAAAATTCAACTTCTCAGGAACCGATTTCGCTCATCGTGCCATATAATTGCATTTTACAAGTAAGACTTTTAAATTAAATTAGTTGTATATCTTACAATTCAAAATTTCTTTGACTATTTTCAAATCAAATAATAATAGTAATAAATATTTACTAAATGTAATATTTTTCATGCAATTACCTTTGGATAAACAAATTTTATAATTCCTTGCAAAAAATTTAAATTCACTTAAAAAGTTCTTAAGATATGGTGATACACGCTAAAAATAAAATTAACATTAAAGGGTCCTTGGATAATATATTCCAGATAGAGGCTAAATTGATTGTCTAATTTTGTAACTTAACATATCTTCTGCTCTAATTAGTATATTTTAAGACTCACCCTCGAACGATTAAGATTGAATTCTAGAACGTGAAGATCCGATCACCAGATCAAAAGTTATTCTGGATAGTTATTTTTTTTTGCTCACTGTTAACTGTATATTCTTTTAAAAAAGATACCTGTTACTTCTAAGCATGGTATAATTTTAATGGGAATCCTAGTTATAATTCTTTGTTCTCTAATAACAATGAAACAATACTAATAGTTCCTTCTCTCCTTTTTAAAAGTGCAGTATACTTAATGAAATATCCATAAAATACGAAAAATAAGTAATTTTGTAGAACCACCTACCATTTACTTGTTATTTTGTTGATCATTGTCTTGAATCTCTCAGTGAAATGCTTTAGATCGGAATCTTCGCTTTTTAAAATTTTCCATTTCTTATTTCGCTTGCCTAGAGCGGAATCCAAATTAAAGAGGATAAAAATTAATATTGAAACAATTTTATGGTTTTAGTTTGTGAAATGAATTGATAGTGTGTTGTAATTTACAGGTATATGCAGTAGATGCTCGAAACCATGGTGACAGTGAAATGAGTGATGAATTCAATTTTGATTTAAATGCAGTGGATCTCATACATTTTATAGAACAAATAGCAGCTGAGAAAGTCACAATTGTTGGGCATAGTATGGGAGGGATAACAAGCATGAAGACAGCTTTAAAAATAGTAAGTAATACCCACTACAAAACTATGATAAATACACCGAAGAGCCATTACCTTATGACCTCCCTGCTAATAACATGTAGGATCACATTTAGCCCTTAAAACTGCTAGCACCCACCGTATCATTGATGCCACAAGGTGCTGATAGGTAGTCTGAGGTATCTGGTACCAAGCGCTCACCAACTGGTCCTGAAATTCCCTCACATTGCGAGGGGGTAGCGTGGCAGCATGGATTTGGTTTTCCAAGTAGGACCACAAATGCTCTATTGGATTAAGGTCAGGTGAATTTGGGGGCTAAGACATGACTTGAAAG